GGTGGTGAATACAGAAATCCAAGGTGTTTACTTGGGGAGGGGCTAGGGGAGAGAAAGGGATGGGAATTGATGGATTAAAGTATGATTTGAAGAGAGTAATCAATAAATCAAAGATTATGATTTAAAAACACTCAGAATTCACTTTATAGAACATCCTCACTGTGGGAGAAAGAGCAAGTGGAATAATTTGTTTTCTCCAGCTGAAGTTGGACTGTGTTTTCAATACTTCAGAAAATAATATGCGTTGAGAAAGAAGCGGTAACCTTGAGCTGTAGCTCATGGACCTCAAATGACACAGCTTGAAAGCATCATTAATATATGCATCAGACACAATTTTGTTACCTTGGTCATTATTTAGACTGTTTAGAACTCAAGCATAAGGAATTTTAATGTGTTTTATGAAAGGAGGGAAAAATACGTGTTTCTTAGAAAAAGGAGAATTTTTCTTTTCTCGGTAGGTATTAATAGTTTGGGAAGCAACACGTTGATACATTAAAAAAATTGGTTCCGAGAGCAGGGAACCTATCATTCGCTCATCTCACACCTTCACGGTCCCTGGAATTACTGCTGCACCAGAAAGGAAGAGGAGGCCCAGGCCACACTCTCTTCCTGTTGAGATGTCTACTGGTGTGCCAATTCAGGTCCTACTTAAGACTAAAGGCCACAAAATGAGAGACAAACACTGGTGAGGTGCACCATGGGAAGCTCAGGGGCAGAGGATAACAGGAACTGCCAGATGTCCAATATCACAATCCCCTCCAGAGATGCCACGTGGCACAGCCGGACCAGGTGCACATCTGTGGCAGCAAGATCTTTCCGAATTTCCCTGACATGCTGAAAAGTGCCCCCATGTGAAAGAGCGTGAAAAAGAAAAACAAAGTCTCAAGGGGCCAGCTGTGGAAAAGGTCCATGTGGCCCTGAGTGGAAGAGGGTATAGAATGGGACATGGAAACATCTTTCAGAAGTGAAGATAAATTTATCTGTTGAATTGGGGGGTGGATGGGGGAAATAAATGAAGGGGATTAAGAGTACACTTATCATGATGAGCACTGAGTAACATATAGAATTGTCGAGTCACTCTATTGCAGGCCTGAAACTAATATAACACTGTATGTTAACTACACTGGAAGTAAAATTTTTAAAAAAGAAAAAAAAATGGTCTGTTGAACAGAACTTTGCCCTTATTTTTTTCTTTTAATTTATCTGGGTTGGGGATGGAGGGCGTGCATGCTTATGTGTATATCCTAGGTTCTAATCTTAGGATGAGTTTACTCCCCCGGGGACATTTGGCGTTCGGCAATGCCTGGAGACATTTTCGGTTGTCACAATTTGGGGGAGTGCTACTGGAATCTAGCAGACAGAGGCCAGGGATGCTGCTAAACATCCTAGTAAGCACAGGTCAGTCCCCCACAACAAAGAATTATCTATCCCAAAATGTCAATAGTCGCAAGTCTGAGAAACACTGCCCTAGCCCGGCAAATCTAGCTAGCAGAGAATTTCAGTGAGAAAAGTTGAGTTCCTTTCTTTCTTTTTTCCTTTTAAGTAAGCTCTGTGCCCAGTGTGGGACTTGAACTCACAATCCTGAGATCAAGAGTCACATGCTCTACTGACTGAGCCAGCCAGGCAAACCTGAGTTTCTTGCTTAAAGGGAAAGCTTATGCATTTGTGTTTGCTTTTTCTTTTTAAAGTGGTGGCTTTAATCAAAACTAATTTTAAGACAGGGTGAGATGAGATTGGGGACATACATGTCAAGATGAAGGGTTTTCTAAGTAATAGTGTGATAAGATCTCTGGTCTAGAAAACTCACTGTAGGGACGCCTGGGTGGCTCAGTCCGTTAAGCGTCTGCCTTCAGCTCAGGTCATGATCCCAGGGTCCTGGAATTGAGTCCCGCATCGGACTCCTTGCTCAGCAGGAGGCTACTTCTCCAGACTCTGCCTACTGCTTCCCCTGCTTGTGCTCTCTCTCTCTCTCTGACAAATAAATAAATAAAATCTTTTTTAAAAAATAGAAAACTAACAGTAGGAGTAACTCTGTGGTTGGGTGATCTCCAAAGACCTCATCTGAGAATCTCCTCTCTCAGCCCTTATAGTCCCTGCCTTATTATTCTTCATCTAGAACACTTCCACAGTGTCCTTTCTGACCTTCCAGCTCCTGGCAGCCACCTTTTCAAAGTCACCTTCATTTCTGAACAGTATTTTCATTGGATATAGAATTCTAAGTCAATGGTATTTTTTTTTCTTTCAGCACATATAGAGACGTATTTCTATAATCATCTGGATTTTCAAGTTGTTTCCATGTCTTGGCTATTGTAAATAGTGCTGCAATGAACTTGAGGGTACAGATATCTCTTCAAGCTGGTGATTTCTTTCCCTTTGGGTATATATCCAGAAGTGATAGATCAAATAGTAGTTCTATTTTTAATTTTTTGAGGAGCTTCCATACTGTTTTCCATAGTGGTTGTACCAATTCATATTGCCACCAACAGTGCATAAGGGTTCCCCCTTCTTTGTGTCCTTGCCTGCATTTGTTGTCTTTTTAATAGTAGTCATTCTAACAGGGGTAAGGTATATCTCACTGTGTTTTTGATTTGCATTTTCCTGATGATTAGAGATGTTGAGCACCTTTTCATGAACTTGTTCATTTGTATGTCTCCCGTTGTTTTTTTTTTTTATTGGATTGTTTGGGTTTTTTTGTTTGTTTGTTTTTTGCTATTGAGTTGTGTAAGTTCCTTATGTAGTTTGGATATTAACCCCTTAACAGAAAGATGGTTTGCAAATATTTTCTTTGATTCCATAGGTTCTCTTTTCATTTCATTGATAATTTCTTCTGTTGTGAAGAAGCTTTCTAGTTTGCTATAGTTGATTTTTGTTTTTGTTGCTTGTACTTTGGTGCATATCCAAAAAAAACCATTGCTAAGACCGATGTTAAAGAACTTTTTCCTATGTTTTCTTCTAGGAGTTTTATGGTTTCAGGTCTTATGTTTAAGTTTTTAATCCATTTCAAGTTAATTTTCATAAATGGTATAAGATAGGGGTCCCATTTCATTCTTGTGAATGTGAATATCTAGTTTTCCCAATGCAATTTATTGAAGAGACTGTCCTTCCCCCATTGAGTATTCTTGACTTGTCAAATATTAGTTGATCGAAATGAATTTCTTAATGTGAGTCTTGGTTAGAAAAGTTTGAAAGCCAGTGGTCACATGAAGGAGATTCCTTAGAAAAAATTACATTAAGTTTGGAAATAAAGCAAAACAGTATAGCATGACCTTTCCGTGTCACACTAGAACAATGTTTAGGAGGCCCAATCTCTATCCAATAGGACTTTCTGTGATGATGGAAATATTCTAGATGTGTGTTGCTCAATGTATCAGCCACAAGCTACATATGACAGCTAAATACTAGAGATGGGGCTAGTGTGACTGAGGGATTGAATTTTTAACTTTTTAAATTTTAATTAAAATTGAAATGTAAATGGCCAAAACTAGAGGAATGTATCTATTCCCCTTAGAAAAAATTCCAAAGGCTATGGTTGTATTGCCCTGTAGAACATTGGCCAGTTTTGTATATAATCCAGCAGTCTTATTCTAACTTTGTTTTCTTTCTTTTTTTTTTTTTAAAGATTCTATTTATTTTTTGACAGAGAGAGAGACAGCGAGAGAAGGAACACAAGCAGGGGGAGTGGGAGAGGGAGAAGCAGGCTTCCTGCTGAGCAGGGAGCAGGGAGTCCCATGCGGGGCTCAATGAAGGGCTCGATGCAGGGCTCACTGTGGGGCTTAATGCGGGGCTCGATCCCAGGACCCTGGAATCATGAACTGAGCCGAAGGCAGATGCTTAATGACTGAGCCACCCAGGCGCCCCTTATTCTAACTTTGTTTTCTTTAAATGCCTGTGAATACCTGGTACCTCAAAATGCTCTTTAAACCACCTTTACCATTTAACTAGCTCCCTCAAGGACTTAAGGGGCATCTTTGACATGTGTCCGTTCATATTAAAGAGAATTCTGTTTTAAATTTTTTAAAAATTATGTCAACAAAACAATGTAATAAGTGCAACAGGAAAGGTATGCAACGAAATCAGGACCAATTTTCTCTCTGCCTAAACTCTACCTGGGGTAAGTGTAGTGATTGGAAAAGCTCCACTGAACTGTCCTAGAAGGTGATTTCTGAGCTGTGTCTTAGGAGGCAATATAGGCTTTTATTAAGCAAATGAAGTGAGAGTGATCCTCTAAGCAAAAGAAACTGCTCAGAAGTAGTTCACAATTCATGTAATCTGGGGATGGGAGTGGGGGGTTGCCCGGGTTGGAGGAATGACAGGTGAAACTGGACAGGGAAGGTGGCAGCATGTGTAGTGGAAAGGCACACTGGCTTCATTCAGGAGACAGTTTTGCATCCTAATTTTATCTTGTTGGATAACTTAAAATTGGCTAATTTGGCTCTTTGTGCCCATTTCCACAACTGTAAATTGGGAGTGTTAATGACGTCTCCATGGGATGTTAGGATTAAATTAGATAACCACAAAAAAGTGCGTTGTCTGGTGCTATAGATGTTTAATAAATTGTAGCTATTATTTCTAATGAGAGAGTGGTCAACAGTTCAAATGGTGCTAAGTTTAAATAAGATCAAGGTGTAAAATAATCTATAATTGGCTTTCCTAATTAGGAAGTTATTAAAGACTCTGGTAAGAACAGCTTCAAAGGAGGAGGGACAGAATGTTTTGAGAAATGGATGGAAGGTGACAAAGGGAAGAAGAGGACACCTAGTCCTTTCAAAAAGCTTGAAGTGAATGGGAGAGAGGTGATTCAATTCAGCAATTATAAGATGAGAGGTTTTTTGGGTTTTGTTTTGTTTTGTATTAGATTGAGGAAACTTGGATATTTTGTATCCTAAGGGTAGAGAATGGAAGAAGAAGCCCGAAGATAATGAAGAGGGGATGGTTTAGAATGGGATTAACAGCAAGTGAGACAGAAGGGAAAGATATCGAAGACACAAAGTAGTTAACACATGAGGAAAATGGAGCAGAGGAAAATGTCAAGTCCATGTTTGTTGGCTTTTAATGAGCATAGGTCTGGCGTGGAGGGAGTTGGAGGAGAAGGGAAAGGTTGATGCACACTTTGCATCCCAGAAAGCTTCTGACAGCCAAAGTCCACAGCAGATTCTTCCAGTCTACAAGGACCACTTGCAGACATTTCAAAGTAAAGCAGGAAGTTCCTTCCAAACCTTTACCTTAATACGGGGGGAGATGGGGGCCTAGAAAAGACGGGATGTCAAAATGTAGTCTTGGGAACGTAGGCGTTGGGTCACAAAGGCCTAAACAACTGCCGAAATCAAGGACAAATACATAAATTTAGTAAATTGCATTTTAGAGACAGAAATTAAGCGAACCCAAACTATTTCAAACCCCGCCCCAAGTCCTGTCAATCATCCCCTCTCCATCTCTTGATTGGTCAATGGCGTGCAAACGCTCCGGATTAAACGTGCTTATTTTTAATATTGATTGGCATGAGAAAGAATCCATTTGTGTCCAGCGATTGGCTGACCTGTCTAGGCTCCGACCAATCCTGAAAGGGGCGGGCTGGTTAAGCGTTAGGTTTCTCCGAGCCGCTTTCTTTGGAAGTACTGGGCAGGCTAGTTTAACTGGCCCTTTTCACCTCTCCGGCCCTAAAACAGGAGCTAATGGAGCTTTCTTACCAGACCCTCAAATTCACGCACCAGGCACGGGAAGCGGTAAGGAAAGCATATACAAAAAAAGACCTGTACTAGGAACTCTTCTCTCCTGTTGCTACGGGCCGATTTGTGTGTCCCCCGGTTGCTATGGCGACACAGCCCCCCCCAACCCCCCGCCGCCGAGTGGCACAAGGGCAGGGAGGGACCTTAGGCCCCACTGGTCAAGTCCCGGGACTGGGCTTGAGGCTGTGATGGGAATAGGATGCGTCTGGGACCGAGGGCGGTTTGGGAGTGCCTACGGATTTAATGAAAGGGACCGCAGTTCGTGATTTAGGAAACGGTGTGTTGTTTATTAGACCGGCTGTCCTGATGGGTGAGCAGGTGTGGGGAGTGGTTAAAAGGCAGATTGTTGAAAGGCAGGGTAGCTCTGACCTGGCAGTTGGGACCCTGGGTTCTGATCCTGATTCTCCACTTACCAAGGCTGAGAGACCTTAGGTATTTAATTCCCTTCTCGGGCTTCAGTTCTTGGACTCTAATCCTTTTCACACGAAGATTACATGAACTTTACAGGTCATACAGTGGTTTCTGTTGTACCATCTGCTAACTGCCCAGCAGTACTTTACACAACAACCCCCATGAATTGAGGACATACTCAATGCCAGGCACTGGGGAAATAAAAACAATGCTTTGGGGAGAAGGGAGGATAAATAAAATTAAAGTTAAAAAAAAAAAAATACTTGGGCGCCTGGGTGGCTCGGTTGGTTAAGCGACTGCCTTCGGCTCAGGTCATGATCCTGGAGTCCCGGAATCGAGTCCCGCATCGGGCTCCCTGCTCAGCGGGGAGTCTGCTTCTCCCTCTGACCCTCCCCCATCTTGTGCTCTCTCTTTCTCATTCTCTCTCTCAAATAAATAAATAAAATCTTTAAAAAAAAAATACTGATATCTGGGCCCCCACCTCTAGAGATTCTGATTTACTGATTTTGGTTGGATTCTGTGCATCAACATTTTTTTTTTTTAAAGCCCAGCAGGTGATTACAATGTGTAGCCAAGGTTATGAACCACTGCCCTAGTGTCTCCGACCTTAAAAAACAAACAAACAAATAATACAGAAGAAGAGATAACCCTCTGGTTGCCCTCACATTCCCCTCTACCTACCAACCTCTCTCTATTTCTCTACAGCTTCTGGAAAAGGTTGGTGTTCCTCAAGCTTGGATTGTCCTCAAGCCTATTTCAGTCTAGCCCAAATTACCCACATATAGAACATTTTGCATTGACTTTTAATAAAGCAGATTCCTGGACCTCACCAAGACTTACTGAATCAGAAACAATCTGGGATGGGGTCTTGAAAAGTGCATTGTAAACACATACCCAGGTTTGAAAACCACTGCCCTAAATGGTCTCATATATATTCATGATTTCCAATGCCATCTATATGCCAACAACCCCCCACCCCCTAAACTGACTCTAGAGTGGATTTCTTTGCTGGGCCCCAAGCCCACACGGTGTCCTAGAAGATGGAATACAGAGAGGATAATGAATCAACTGATTACTTGACAAATCTAGGGGCATATCTCAAGAATCTGCATCTTAATTTGTTCAATATCTAACTTTTTGCTTCCCTTCTAAAACCTGTACCTTTCCCAGTCTTCCTCCACCTGGGAATGTGAAACCACCATCCACCAATTGCCCAAATCAGAATTCTGGGAGTATTCCTTAGCTCCTTCCTCCTAGTCCCTCCCTTCTGTCCTCCACATAGGGAAGACAGCAGCAAATCTTACTGATTCTACTTCTATAATAGGTCTTTAAACATCCTTATCTCTGCAGCTGAGATCCTGATCCAATCCACCATAATCTCTTACATATACACTGCAATAGCCTCCTAACTATTCTTCCTATTGGTTTTTGCCTCCCTCTAGTCCATGCTTCATCCAGTGATCTTCTTAAAATTGTGTCACTCCCTAGCTGGGATCTTTTTATTGGCTTTTCATTACACTTATGATAAAACCCCCAAACCTTGACGTGACCTACAGAGCACTGCAATGGTGTAGCCCAGTTTCCGCATCCAGTCTCTTCTTCACCACTTTCTGCTTTGCCTCCCACTGATCCAGGCACATTCTCTTTGATCTGACATGTCTCTGAACTCCACATATTCTGTACCATACAAGTTAGTATTTAATTGTGATTAATTTTTTTAAGATTTATTCATCTACTTGGGGGGGGGCAGAGGGAGAGAGAAAGAATCCTGAAGTGGACTCCCTACTGAGCAGGGAGCCTAATGTGGGGCTCCATCCCAGGACCCTGAGATCATGACCTGAGCTGATTTCAAGAGTTGTATGCTCAACCTACTGAGCCACCCAGGCACCCCTAATTTTTTTTAAAGTAGGCTCCACATGGGACTTGAACTCACAACCCTGCAATCAAGACCTGAGCTGAGATCAAGAGTCAGCTGCTTAACCAACTGAGCCACTCAGGTGCCCCTAATTTGTGATTAATTTGTGTTACTGCTTCCTGCATGTGACATAGCCTGTCAAACAATTCATGTAACTTGAAGGCAGATCCACTTTTATTTTTTGTTTTATTCCCTAGATGGCGCTGAGAGACATATTTAGGTATGGCCATTGATGGCTTGATTTTGCAGGGGGCGTAAGTCAAGGAGTTGTGCTGATTAGGGGTCTGCAGAAGGAAGAAGGTGGAGGTGGGTGAACTGACTATAAAAAGGATTGCGTGTCCACAAGCAATTTTGATCATCTACATCATCTACTGTATTAGGATTTCCAGAATACTTCCTTTTTATTTGGTTGATTTTATTGTTGTTTCAAATTATACATACATATACAATTGCTCTGAGATCTTCAATTTCTCCAGGGAGAAATCCTCTACACCCTCCTATAGGAATAAGGGCACAATAAGCTTGGTTGCCACCATTGTTGGAGTTAAACAGGGGAAGACAGCTCTGTGTGGGGTGGGGGATTTCTCCTCACTATTTAGTGCACAGATTATACTTAATTACTCCTTCCTTAATTACATAATTGCATACTTAATTACTTTTTCCTTTCCAAAGTTTGTGTGGTTGAGTTTCTTCTCAGAATAAATGTCCAATCTTCAGCCAGGGTAGGGGAGGAATTGTCACCTGATTGGGGTGGGGAAGGGAATCTCTTACACTGTGTTCAGCCTGCTCCTCATTATTTCTGTCCTTAGAAGTGCCTGGTGACTCCCGAAGTACCCAGTGCACTCAGTTCCTGTAATTGTCTAGGGCTCTGTCATACTTAGATGCTTCTTGTTCACTACTTTCTCTATAGGTGTTGGTTTTCTTTGATTTTGGTTGTCTTTTGCTTTTGTCTTTCTGTGCTCTCTTAAGTCAGCTGGCATTTATCTAATTGCTTTCCATTTGTCAATTTTATTGTCATATTTGTTGTCACTTCCTCTTCTAGGGTCTTTGTCCTTTTTTCCCTCCATCCATTTCTGCTCTAATCTTAATTATTTCCCTCCTACTCCTGGCTTTTTTTGGAATTTATTTGTTCTTCTGTTTCTAGCTCCTTTAGGTTATAAGGATAGGTTGTTAATTTGAGATTTTGAGACTTTTCTTGCTTCTTGAGGTAGGCCCGTGTTGCTATAAACATCGCTCACATTTAATGCAATCCCTATCAAAATACCATCAACATTTTTCAAAAACTGGAACAAACAATCCTAAAATTTGTATGGAACCACAAAAGACCCCGAATAGCCAAAGCAATCCTGAAAAAGAAAAGCAAAGCTGGAGGCATCACGATTCTGGACTTCAAACTATATTACAAAGCTGTAGTCATCAAGACAGTATGGAACTGGCATAAAAACAGACACCTAGATCAATGGAACAGAATAGAAAACTCAGAAATGGACCACAACTATATGGTCAACTAATCTTTGACAAAGCAGGGAAGAATATCCAATGGAAAAAGACAGCCGCTTCAACAAATAGTTTTGGGAAAACTGGACAGCCACATGCAGAAGAATGAAACTGGGCCATTTTCTTACACTGTACACAAAAATAAATTAAAAAATGTGAGATAGGAAACCATCAAAATCCTAGAGGAGATTATAGGCAGCAACATCTTTGACCTCAGCTGTAGCAACTTCTTACTAGACACATCTCTGGAGGCAAGGGAAACAAAAGCAAAAATGAACTATTGGGACTTCATCAAGATAAAAAGCTTCTGCACAGCGAAGGAAACAATCAATAAAATTAAAGGGCAAGGGGTTTTCAATCTTAGTAATTCTTTCAAAGAACCAGCTCCTAACTTTGTTGATCTCTTCTATTGTTTTTTTTAAATTTCTATATCATTGATTTGTGCTCTAATCTTTATTATTTCTCTTCTCCTGCTCGATTTAGGCTTTATTTGCTGTTCTTTTTCCAGCTCCTTTAGGTGTAAGGATAGATTGTGCATTTGAGACTTTTCTTGTTTCACAACCAACACCAAAGAAATAAAAACATTTATAAGAGAATATTATGAGCAATTATATGCCAACAAATTAGGCAATTTGGAAGAAAATGGATGCATTCCTAGAAACATATAAATGACCAAAACTGAAACAGAAAGAAATAGAAAACAGATCCATAACCAGCAAAGAAATTGGAGCAGTAATCAAAAATCTCCCAACAAACAAGAGTCCAGGGCCAGATGTCTCCCAGTAGATTTCTACCAAACATTTAAAGAAGAATTAATACCTATTCTTCTGAAGCTGTTTCAAAAAATAGAAATGGGAGGAAAACTTCCAAACTCTTTCTATGAGGCCAGCATTCCCTTGACCCCAAAACCAGACAAAGACCCCATCAAAAAGGAGATCCCTAAAAAAAAAAAAAAAAAAAGGAGATCCCTGATGAATATGGATGCAGAAATTCTCACCAAGTTACTAGCTAATAGGATCCAACAATACCTTAAAAGGATTATTCACCATGGCCAAGTGGGATTTATTCCTGGGCTGCAAGGGTGGTTCAACATCTGCAAATCAATCAATGTGATATACCACATTAATAAACGAAAGGACAAGAACTGTATGATCCTCTCAATGGATGCAGAGAA